AGTACACATCAAGATAAATAATATTATTAGAAATTAAAAAACTAAAAAATGTATAATGATAAAACTATTGATCAATTTGGAAGTCATAGCAATCTTAAATAATGTGTATGTTTCTAATAGCAGAATTTCAAAATAAATGAAGCAAGAATTAACATAGTGAAAGGGAAATATAAAAAATGCATGAGCATGGCTGGAAATTTAATGAGTTTTTCAATAATGATAGAATAAGCTAAAATGTCAGGAAGAATATAAATTTTTACAGACATTTATAGAATATTACATCCAACAATTGCAAAATGTACATTTTTAAGTACATAGTACAAGCAGTCAAGACAAATTGTATATTATATTATAAATCTTACTAATTTTCAAAATGTTTAATCTTAAAGAGTGTGCTGTCTAACTATGCTGTATTTATATCAAAATCTATAATGATAATATAGTAAAAAATCCTCAAGTACTTGAAAACTAAACTTACAATTATAAATATATACCCAATGATAAAAGATAAATTCAATGAAAGAGAAATTAAGACATCTTAAATAAATTGAAATACTACTGTACATGTCAAAATTTATAGGATACAATGAAAGTAGTTCTTAGAGTTAAAATTCTAACTCTAAACTTTCTACTGAAGTAAAGAATAAGTTTAAATGATCTACCTTAGCTTTTAACTTAAAGAGATAGCAAAATAGGAAAATTAAGTCAATGGAAGAAAGAATAATGAACAATACAAAGCAATATAAAGCAAGTAATTAAGTACCAAATTTGGTCTTCTAAAAGGATTGATACAGTTGAACCAAATAAAGTTTTCTGCTAGAAGGCCCACTAGCATACCTTGGGAGGAAACATTGTTTTTCTTTTTCTTTAAAATATGGACATACTGTACAATTTTTATGATTCTTTTCTCAAATATAAATCAAAGAGAAAGTCCAGCAAATCTATACTAGGAAGTTCATGTGTTTATAACATACTATTTTTTTTGTAAAAGAAACTCTTAGTAGTCTATTACAGGAAAACAGATATATGAAGTGTGCTGTATACAAACACTAGAATATTTGAAAATGAATCAGTCATAGCTAGGCACAGAAGTTCATGAAATCAAAAAGCTTATCCCAACTGTCTTTAGATACTGTGTACTGCTCTTAGCCCTTGAGATACTTTAATTAATAAGATTGACAATGATCTCTATCCTCATGCGATTACATTCTCAAGATTAAGAAAAATACTAAGCAATGCATAAAATAAAGCATACATACAGTGGAATAAAACATAGTAAAACACAATAAAAATACAAGTATAATAAGAGTGTAATAGATTTTGAGAGAAACTGGGACATAATAATGGGGAACATGAGGAGACTGCTCTTAGAGAGGTAATAATAAATGAATATCATATTTTTGAACTCCAGCAATAAAATCGAATGACAAAAGTACCCCCTAGACAAGTCATGCGTTTCAATTCTTACCATGGCCATGGAAAGCTCCTATGAAATCCTGTAGCTGCTGATATGAAGACTGTGGAGGCCTCATTTTGAGAGGGAAGAAGCCAAAATCAAAGCAGCTTGGATTACTAATTCACTACCTAGAGACATTAGGTGCGGGAAAATGCTCCCTATAAATTACTATGTAAACTACATCATGATTTCAGAAATGTTATGATTTCAATGAGATATACTCAATATTCAATAACCAACCAACCAACCAAACAAACAAACAAACAAAAAACCCCCAATCATTATAAACATTTTCAACTGGCTACATGATGATTTTTAATAACCTGACATGTTAAAGAAAAACTGGCAGCTACATATTTGACATTATGTCGTAAAAATTTGCATTTTATGACAAAAATTATTTTTTATCATTAGAATACATCATATATAGTAAGTTTTTCTAGATATCAGAGACAATTTTGCATTCAGTCATTGAAAAGATAATCATTGAAATCATTTATTTTGTAGACTAATATTTTCCATGAAGTTCATTTCAAATGTGTACTTTGTGCAGCTATAACTTAAAGTATTTTACAAGTCAGTAGAAATTATTTTTATGGTTCATTAGTTATTTGACTTTTGAGAAGAGAGGCTCTTATTTAAAAAAGCAAATTCATTTTCCCATTTTTTTATTAAGTGGTTGAAATGTACTGTAAGTAAAAGCTGTGACTTTCAAGCATGCATTTTGGAGATCACAGAGAATTTCTATGCATATTCAAATGAGAAATCATTTCTTTATATAATTTCAATAAAATTTACCCTAAATACTGCTATAGTTTTGTTCTAGGATGTCTGTAAAGAAATATCAATAGGTGTGTGACCTATTAAGTAGTTGATTATACTTACTTAGAGAGGCTAAGTTTTATAATTCAACTTTTAAAACTTAAAAGCCTTCTGAACAAGATTAATTATATGTTATATTTATACTTTAATATACTTAACAGGCTGCATATATTTTAAGCATTATCATAATTTTTAGGATATATTTTACAATAACTAACACAAGTATGTGCAATTTATTAAATTACTTTCTTGTTAGGGGCTGGGGAAATAACTCGGTAGAATAAGCTCTTGCCTGGCAAGCAAAAGGGCCTGAGTTCAATCCCTGGTTCTGAAAAAAAAATGCCTTCCATTCATATAGACTGAAGTTGCTGGCATATATCATTACTAGATTCTGCTTTATAGTTCAACTTGCTACATATAAAACTCAAATAACATGTATCAAGTATTATGAAGAAATAAACATATTCATAATATCTATGTGGCCTTTAAAATTTTACACTAAGCTATTTATTTCTTGTTCAGTATCTTCAAAATGTATATATTTGTTATATTCATTATTTATAATTTTTTCTAATATGCTTTTGTGCCTGTGGAGGAATTTCAGAGTGTACATATTCCAAAGTTTTAAGGAGAATCATGGGATACAAAATAGATAACTGAGTAGTGGGTAGCATAAAGCTCTCCTATTCTAAATGTGGGGAGCACTGAAAATTAATTAGAAATGGAGCTCAAAGAAAGCCATATTTGCATGGCTACTATGCGGTAGTTTTATTCATATAAGGTAAATTGGCTTCTCACTGTTTATAAAATGTTTGTGAAGTACCTGCCAGAATAAGTGCATCTTGTAAGGACATGCTGTAACAAATTCAATGATAGAAATTCACTACTTGTTGTTTTCATCTTATTTCTCATAGTGCATATAATTTTAAAATTTGTCCCATGCATTTGTAGCACAGTATTTTCTACTATACATGTAACTAGATATCAAGGTGTAGAGTATCAGAAATTTGAATGTATGCATCAAACATCTGGAGCTATACATATCTGGAATATACAGCTGTGTTTATTTCAATGCTTACTCATTTACATGCATATAATACATTTACTTAAATGCATATTATTTTATATATGTAAGACTTTTCAAACAAATGCATTTGCTATATTTACTTGAATATGCATTTGAAAAAAGTATTCAAATGAAATTGCTACATTTATTTAAATCTAACAGTACTTATTTATATACTTATTAATGCACAATCATAGCTCTTTTTCTTTATACAGAAACCAAATATTTTCAAGATTAAAGAAACTCAATGGGGGACACGAGTCCTACAAATCAAAGAAGTCTTGTATAGTTATTCACAGTTAGCAAGCTTTCAAAAGAATTTGGAAATTCGGCAGGGTGGGAAAATAAAAACCATTTGCAACTGGCAAATGTTTCTTTTATTCCAAAAATTTTATCACAACATGATGTGTGTTTTAGTGGAATTTCAAAGCATGTGTCCAGGGGTATTATTATTTTCTTATTATTACAGTTTCTGATAACATATACACTCCTTGATCAAAAAAAGCTTCTGCACTTTAAAGCCAATTTCATAGAAGTTCTGGCCAAGAGAATTTATATAATCTTACTTAACTGCGCCTTTATTTCTGGGAGCAGAATTGGAAGCTAGAAAATGATTTGGGAGGGCAGAAAATAAAATTACATTTTGGGTTTAACTCCTGACCATAATATCCTGGGAGATTTCAGAACATTCTGGTGAGTACACTTGTTCCAATTTTTTCTTACCTTCCTTTCTTCCTGCTTTCCTTCTCCTCCCTCTATCCTTCCCTCCCTCTTTTTCCCTTCCCCTTTCCTTCCTCCCTCCTATCTTGTTTGGTCTGCAATATTCTTTCTTAGGAGCTTTTTGCAGATGATGGACCACTCAGAGAAAGGGGATTTAGTACTTCAAGAAAAACATTAAATTTAAAGTGGCACAGATTTTTGAAGGAATTTTAAATTCAGTTTACCACAGCACAAAAACGACTGCAGACATGTTTGTAGAACGCTGAAATGATCGTATCCTTTCCTAGCGTGTGTTTCGTTATTCATAGGTTGAGAATCATAACCTCTTAGCGGGTTTTCTGGAGGTTATATAAGCATCTCGTAGAGAGCATTCAATTATCAAATGCATCCTAAATAATAACCACCTAATCTTTCATCCCTATTTTGTAGATACAGAAATGAAATACCTGAGTGGACCTCCAAACTTTATTTGTTCGTCACAATTCATCAATCACTGTCTGTAAATCGACTTCTTTCCTGTTAAAATTAATACTATAAATACAAAACGTTTTTGCTGCTTGAATCTGCAGATACATTGTTTTCACTTGAGACTTTCAATTTGGGACACTCCTTTGAGAATGGATTTCAGACAGTGTGTATATATGTGTTAGGTGTGCAGGCATCAAAAGTCCAAGTAACATTTCTTGCGTGTTAGATTTTTTAATCAAGTCACAGTTTTATGTTCGACAGTCACCTTGCTGGACAGTGTCAGAATTTAGGACTCGTGTCAAAAGGAAGCAAAGGCCCCTGGAAGCTGGATGCGGGCTTTGGCGTCCTGGACCCGCGCAGAGGCGGGAGAGTACCGACCAATCAGAGAGCAGATTGAGGAGTGGCTCCGCCCCATCGGTCTGACCACGCCCCCTTTTCCTACCGCCCTAGGGGTACCGGGGTGTGCTGCGAACTCGTCCCGCCCCCGCCTCTGAGTGACAGGACCGTGGACAGCAACATTCCCTGCCGGACACGAAGTTTGTCGGGCCGTGCCTAGGTTGAACTGAGGTGTGTGTGTGTGTCTGGCGGGGGCAGGGGGATTAGGGCGACCTGCGTAGACAGACATCTTAGGGTGCTGAAGTGGAAACGCGCGCACCTCCCTCAGCGAGCCCGAAAGCGTGGAGGAGAGCAGCAACCCGCCCTTCCCAGGGAGGGGCTCCTGGGCGGTTGGGTGGAGGGAGGCTCTGCCGGAGGAACCTGAGCACCGAGGGGCTGCTGCCTCGGCGGGCGCGGGACCTCGACGCGGGGAGGGGAGGCGGCGGCCGGTGGGCCGCAGAGTGGGCGCGGCCTCCGCGTTGCTAGGGAACGCGCGGTTCCCGCCCAGCCAGCGTGTCAGGCTCCGGCCTGGCTCCGGAAACCTTAGTCCCGCCCACTCGCTCAGCCTTCCTCTGGGCGAGGGATTGGCTCCCTTGTGCTGTCAGTTAGTCTCGGCCTTTTAGTTATTTCGCTGTCCTCCCGCCTCTAGCTCTGCATTTACCCTCACACTTCTTTTCTTGTTACTTCCCTTCGCTTTTTTTCCTGTTTCCCTTTATTAATGATCTAGTACATGGAGACCAAAATATTTGCAGAAAAGAGGGAATTTATTGGTGGTAGTGGTGGTGGGAGGTTCCTTTTCCTTAGTGCTTGGTGAATCCCAAGATGTTTGTGTCCACGTGGATGACTAGGAAGAGAAGGCAGCGAGATCTGGCCTTTTCCACTTAGAGTTCTCATTCTTTTTGCGGCCCGTTCCTGTGTGAGCTCAATGCATTTCCTCAGGAAGTGGAGGTAGTCCGTTACTAGAGAGACTCCAGCATGTTCGATCTTCCCTTCAGTCTCTTTGGGTCAAACTTGTAAAACTTTTGCCCTTCATTGGGTGCATATTTAATGATCAACTAAGACATATTTCAAATCTCTCCAGATAACTATTTCAGATCTCTCCCTTCACTCTTATCATTTGGCCCCAAATCATTCATTAGGGCAAACATTGCAGAGAGAACACACAAGCTAAAGGCTGCTTTGACTTCCTTGTAGCAGGTGTACACTGTAAATCCTCAGGAAGGAAACGTGGGCTGCTTCGTAATCCTACAAGCAGCACTTACCTATAAGTCGGGAACCTGGGAGGGTTAGTTGTCCTTGGTCTGGAAACCTCAAAATGCTTTGTCATCTGTAGAATGAGGCCGCTAGTATGTGCCCCTCTTACTAAAAAAGAAATAACTAATTTCAAAGTACAGTTACAATAGTCGTCTGCATAAGTACAGAGTTATCAATCACACTTTTAATCTATCTATGTAATCTGAACTTGTAAAAACATTGCTCGTCTTATTTTCAAGTTCTTCTTCTTCTTCTTCTTCTTCTTCTTCTTCTTCTTCTTCTTCTTCTTCTTCTTCTTCTTCTTCTTCTTCTTCTTCCTCTCCTCCTCCTCCTCCTCCATCATCTTCCTCCTCCTCTTCTTTTTCTTCCTCTTCCTCCTCTTCCTCCTCCTTTTCTTTTATTTTTGGATTTAGAAATGAGGAATAAACTCACTATTTAACCATTATTGATTCAGTGTTGGTTCTGACTAACATCTGAAATATCTCCTGTACCCTCTCTTTTTTTCTTTAACCTCACTATGTTTTTGGTTGTTTTTCTTATTTGTATTCAAGTACATCTGTGGCCTACAAGGATTGAGAAACTGTTTCTAATCCAATGATGACTATTTTTGGTGTCATATACAACTCTGAGAAGTGAAAAGAAGCCACTGACTATCTGCTTAGAAAAAGCAGAATGTGAAGTTTAAGTAGATACTACATTGAAAACACTTGTTTTCCTTCAACTTCTTTAGGGTTGGAAAAAAAATCACTGTTTGCCCCATGCTTCAGCCCTGAGGCACTTAGTATATGTCTTCACTTGGAGTTGGGATTTTCTCCTTCCACGTCTCACACCATAGCTTGCAGTTCAGGGTCATCACTACCACATCTAGTTTTTATCAGTTAACAAACAGGAACTACCAAAGCAAAATTATTTATTACTCTGACACAAAACTATGTAAACTGCATTTCATTCCACGTGTTCTTGAAGTATAATCTCTAAGCAAAACAAAAGAGAACTTATGAAGAAAACATTGAATTATATTTTTAGATAAACAAGAAATAAATAATTTTCATTTCTATCAAAGTCTGTTTTGAACAAAGAAAGGCAGTACCATTACTTGATTCCTAGGACTGTATTTCTATTTAAATGAAAGATCTTATAATTTTTGGTGACTAAAAATATATTGTGGTTGGTTTCCCTACAGCTCTTTACCTGATTTCTACATTCAAGTAGAGGTCATTATTTGCTCAGATCACCAATAAAAGTTGGGATCAGTTGTAGATATAATACGTTATTATTGAATAAAGACAATTTGAAAAGGGAACCATCTACTTCTTTTATAATAAATACAAATATATAAGAGCCCCATTTTTGCCTTAGCACTTAGAACTTAAACCCCGGTATTGTACTTTTCCTCTTCTGTATTTCTCTTCATTTCTAATAAAGAAAAATAGTATAAAGAAAAATGCATTAGAAGATCATTACAATGAATTTAGAGATTTTAGGTACCCAATATAAAAGCTCTATACTTTCTGTCTTGAGTTGTAAACAGATACTCAGAGTTTACAATATTAAATTTGTTACTAACAAGCTGATTGTAGATTTCTATTAATAAGCTTTAGGTAGGAAACCAAAAAATGAATTCTCTTGTATCCCTTTCTATTCCCTCCTTTCTTTTCCATAACTTAGACTTTAATGAAGCCAGGAAAAAAAAATCAACTTGCAGAACAGATAACACAGAATTACTGTTCTATATGGTCCAGAGCAGCTCTGTCATTGGCTTAATGCAGACCAATGGATTTAATAAGCCACAATTCAGGTAACTCCTATTGGGAAGCTATGAACAAAGGAATGAGATTTTAGGCTGGAACTGTTAATTGGTATTCTTATTTCCCTTATGGATGGTACTCTTGGGAGATTTGGGATATGTGGAAGTATTTTTAAGTTATTATAATGCCTTTAATGTAAATATTCCTGGATTTGGGCACATTGAATTAAGGAGGTTAAATACTGGGTAATGTAGAGGCCCACCACCTTACTGAAGTATTTGTCTTTTTGTACTTCAGTAGCACAAGGCATCTCCAACAGGAAGCACCGCTCCAATGGAAATTCCCTTATGTAAGAAGATGAAGCTAGGCTGTATTTCCCACCATCGTCACACACTTATGTCCTTATTTTTAATTTCAGTAGGTTTGACTCGATGCAGGTCTTTAAAAATACTACTGAAAACAGATAGTCTTTTGGGATTCTTAAGTGAGGTGAGTATATTTCGGTGACAAATAAATGGTTTCTTCATAATTTTGAAATATTAAAAAATAGAAAGATAAATATTTTATATTCAGATGCCTAGGAAACTATTTTGTTGAATCAGAATATAGATGTGATTCTGTAAATGATAAATGCTTTTCAGTTGTATGGCTTTTAAGCCACTGATTATGGAAAATGCAACCAGAGTAAAGTAGCTTAGTTTTTCCATTATTATGTAGTGATACAATTGCAAAAGTAGCATACTTAGATTAAACAACTTACAATTTTAATAAAGATGAAAGTTTACTTCATTCAAAGAACATGCATTTTCACATACTTTGCATATTAAAACTGCTCAGATATTGTAGCATTTAGAATTATAAGTGACACAGATACTTAAAGCAAGGTCCTGATTTTGGGTTGAATCTTGTAACTACAACAGCTGAAAGGTGAACTGAATGGAAATCTTTAGACTTGGCTCCAGTGGTAAACTTTAATGGGTTTTATAATATTGCCAGTCATCGGGTTCCTTATCTATATAGAATGTGTTGAAGACTTGTAGCTCGCTACTGTTTTTGAACATTATGTTTAAACATAATACATTCCTCTTATAGTGATTCAATATAGCACTGTATCTCTCTGGGCAGGTGTATATTATATTTTAAGGTGTATCTTGGTTACCTTTCTCATTGCTGGGACAGGCTAACAAACAGACATAAGTCAAAGGAGGAAAGATTTATTGTGATTGTGGTTTGTAGAGGTTGCAGTTGATTGTCAGCTGGTTCCAAGGCAGGGTGGCAAGGCAGGGGACATCACACAGGAGAAAGTTTATGACATGGCAGGCAGATGCAAGCCTGCCTTCTTTCTGTCCCTTTATATTCCATCCAGGCTACAAACCTATTGATTGGTGACGCACATGCCCAGGGTAGACCTCTCACTATCCACACACCCTTCATCCACGTTCAGGTGTTCTAGGCCAGCCATGTTTAAAGTTCCTCACCTATGTGTGCAGCGGCTTTGGGCAAACATATAGACAAGCAGATATTTCTAATGAGCTTCTCTGATTTTGTTTGATTTGTGTTCCTTGGCCAGTGGTGGTAGACCTGTGGTGTTTGTGTTGTTTTTCTTTTTAAAACAAAAGATGCTAATGTATGAGTTGTTTTTTCTAAACTAAAACGTCAGTATTCTGGCTTAATTGCTGTGTTGGTGCTTTGCTATAATTAATGGATTTGTTTTGCAGTTTAGGCACTCATCTCTAAACAGTTTGATATCACTGGCTTAGGGGTCCATTCTTTGTTCTCTTTTCTTCAACATCTGTCTCATCTGAAACGTTTTTGGAAAACTTTAGACAGTGCTGAAATGATCTGTATAGTTCCTTTAACCATTTGAAAATAAATAGAATGCAATGAAATATTCCAAAAAATCAAGGCATCAGAAATCAACAGAAGCCTCATAGGCATACATATGAAAATCTAAATAGAATTTAGTTAAAGAACATTTCAGTGAATTCTTTAATTGCTAGCACTGTTAAGAATACATGACCCTAAAAAAAAAAAAAAAAAAATACATGACCTTTATGGATAAGTGAATTCCTTTTAAATGAATGAAGTCACACAGTGCTAAATTAACAGTATGAATATGAAAAAGGAAAATGAAAGCATAGCAAAGAAATAAAAAATATGAGAGCAGATATTGTGTATTATTATTTTAACATTGCCATAAATTTATAAATTAAGTGGTTTGAAACAACAGCTTTTTTAAAAAAATTCTATAGTTCAGAGTAATCTAACTGAGGTCACACTGGGCATAAATCAAGTTGGTGGTACTGCATTCTCTTACGGAGTCCATGTTTCCTTGTCTTTTCCAGTTTTTAGAGGCTACTTATATTCTTTAGTTGAGGTCCCCCTTTTCCACCCTGGAAACCGGCAACATTGCGTCTCTCCATTACTCTGTCATTCCGTTTCCTTATGACTAGAGCTGGGAAAGGACATCCACTTTTTTTTTTTTTTTTTTTTTTTGGCAGAACCGGGGATTGAACTCAGGCCCTTGCGTTTGCCAGGCAAGCGCTTATTCTACTGAACCATCTCCCCGGCCCCAGGACATCCACTTTTTAAACATATTTGTATAATCCAGGTAAATCTTCCTATTTCAAAATTTTTCATTTAATCACTCAGCAAAATCCCTGCAGTAACAGAAGGCAATTTATTCATAGGTTGTTGGAATTAGGATTTTTACAATCTGTTTTTCATGACCTTATTATAATTAGTGAAATTTGTATTCTAAAATACTCAGGGTTAAATTTTGAGTTGGTGTTATTATCAAACAGCAGTTTGGAACTATATAGATTTCATGCTTTTATACATATGAGCTTAATTGCAATAAAACCTGAAGAAAAATTCAGTGTTTGGCACATATTAGGTATTTAATAAATATTTATTAAATAAAAAGAATAAATCAATGTATTTATTAATTGAATTATGGTTCTTTGTTAAGTTTTAGTGGCTGTTTAGAAAGTTAAATACTTACCTAGTGTTAGGTACGAACCCCCACAACCAGACCAGGCATTCTGACCCGAGTGGAAGATTTTTTGGGGACAGAAAGCAGGCTGATTGTCTAGTTGACCAAGATAGCACCAAACAAAGGGGTCGGGGGACAGGAGACTTTATAGGTTCTTTTATGGAGGGGTGATCACAGGCTGAAAAAGCTGAGAAACAGCTAATCTTGAAGGGCTACCTGGTCTGTGGGGGACCTTTAATGTCAACAAAGGAGAGTTTCTGTGGTTGCTTGCCCAGATCAGAGTCAGGCAGACCTGTTCTGTGGTTTTGGGTTTGGTTCTGTGTGGGGTCACTAGGGAGAGAGTTTGGGGGCAGGGGGCCTGGGAAATTTTTAATCCTGACCTATCACTTAGAAGTTTATGATTGAATAAAGCCAATTAGTTTTGTAAATCCTTAAATGATATAACAGAAAACAATTTCAAATTAGTCTTTTTATATTTATTCTTACATTTCCAGCACCATGGAAACACTTCCTGCTACTTTTTGGATAAGCTTTTGAAACATGTTGGCTAATATAAATTTTCTTAGGCTTTTCTATTACAAAAGTTCTCAACTTATTGTGGAAATAAAACTTATGAAAATGGGTATAAAATGTATTTCCCAAATATTGTATGATACTGTGTATATATGTTCTATATATACACAGTATCATACAATATTACAGTTATATAGCTACATATTATGTGTATATATGCTGTAGATCAAACCTAGGGCCTTATTCATTTTAAGTAAGTGCTCTGTCACTAGCTTTTCCAAGTATTTTCCAAGTTTGAAAACTTCTTTGGATTAACTTGATAACAAAGTTAACAAATCATGAATCTTTTAGAAACACTTTTACTATAATTCTATTTTATAGATAATTAGGGATATGCAGATCATCTGTTTAATATTTCTAAACACCCTATTTTAAATTCCAGTAGAAAAAACTACCCAGAATATTCTTTTTGGTATCTGGAAGTGAATATGCCAGGATCACAAGCACAACTTCATTGGTAAAGACCTCGGCTGTGGAAACGTCCTACCCTTGGCAGCTCCACAAGGCTCAGACTTGGCCACATCAGGGACACAACGCAAGGTGTGTTTATTTGATTTAACATTGAGTAAAAGGGTTTGATTTGTGGTTTATTTTCTTACATTTTGTTTTTCTTGTTTTGGATTGTTCTTATGAATGGCAATACTACAATGAGGAAATGCTTTACTTGTATTTATTTTGTGGTATTTGGAAAAGTCCAAATAACTAAAGCAAGAATCATAGAGCTATAGGGCTTTATGTGATTTATTTTTGAAATCTTTTTGTACTACTGCCTATTAAGATTTGTGGCTACATGAGATACTTAATCTTTCTTAATACATGGCATATTAGTATACATGATACATTAACAATATTTGTTAATTCTATTTATCACTATCTATCTATCTATCTTTCTATCTCACTCATAATTACTGAAACATGGAAGAAATCAAGTTATACTTCAAGAGGTAAATGGACATATAAACTTTGGTATATCTAGGTAATGGAATGTAGTCTTCCACTAAAAAATGGTAGAAAATTAAATATATATCACTAATTATATAATAACTGTTAGTTATTATATAACTGGTATATAATAACAAACCAGTGTGAAAAGATTATACATTATGTAATTCCAGCTATGGGATATTCTGAAGAAAGAACATCTATGGAGATGGTGAGAATCAGAGGTTGGGAGATGGAGGAAAGGCAAACAGGCAGAACACAGAAGACTTATGGAATAGTGACATTTTCTGTATGATGCTATATTGGTAGTTACAGATCGTTAGACATTTTTCCAAATCCATCCAAGATATGACACCCACAGTGAGCCCTAAAGTAAGCTATGAGTTTTGAGTGAAGCAGCATCCAGGTAGGTTCGTGAGCTGTAACAACTGAGCTGCTCTGGTGAGGGATGTTGATAATGCAAAATTATGCATGTGTTGGGGCAGGAGGTATATAGAGAATTTATATGCCATATTCTTCATTTTTCTCTGAATGTGATAAAGCTCTAAAATTAAATTTAAAAGAATAGAAAAATGAAGTAAGAGTACTGGAAATTAACCAGTTTTAAAAAAATTTCCTATATTATAAAATGATTGGTATTTTATTATATTGTCCAAGAGTCATGTCCTAGGACTGGGTTATATCTCATGGATCTTCTAAAGGAAACAACATATACAAAATTTTTAAAAATGTGTATTTTCAAATCACTCCCAAATTTCAGACAACGTAAAGCAAACACCATAGAGTTTCTCAAAGCAATTTTGCAATAAAATGTGTTACCAGTTTTATTTTTTCCGTGCCTAACCTTGCCCAGAAGCCCTGTGTATCTCCCAGCTGCCTGAGCCATTCAGCTTGCTCCTCTTCCTCAGATAGCATGCCTATTCGCATTATATCTGGGCACATGGGCCTATTTTCAAATCAGCACAAAAACGTAAGTCCTCAGGTAAGAGCCACTCATTGTACATGCTTACTCTAATTGTCTCTTTCACCGTTACACAGGAGTTTACACACCCATCCTCAGAGGGAACAGTCTATATCAGTACTTCACCTTATCTCATGGCAAAGAATACCCTGCCTCCTGACAAAGCTTCACTCGTGCTTATGAGATTGTCCCATGTTCAATTTCCCTGCCTCTCTTGCTTTTACTCTTACCCTCTCTGTCTACCCTGTAAATTTCTCCCATGGAGACATTGCTATCTACCTCACTAAATTAGTATCATGACTCATTTTACTATTTTTAGTATTGTTTCCCTCAAATCCATCCCATAGTATTAGTAGGGACTAATAAGCTGGTGGTATAAACAGTGTACATACATTGGACAAAAGGACAATTTATGTCACAGGCAGGATGGAACGGTGTGGTGTGACATGTCACACTACACACAAAGTTGAGCAGTTTAAAACATGTGAGTTTACTTGAAGAATTTCTCATTCTATTTTCAGGTGGTTGATGCAAAAAAAGTGAAACTACAAATAAGTGAAGATTGTAATGGATGATTAGGGGGAATGAAAATGTTCTATTTCTTGGCCTTTTTGTGAGCTCATTTCTGGATTGTGAGCTAGTTTTTCTCAGGTTTTTTCCTTCCCTTTAGGTGGGTCAGGATGATGATAGTGGCTTGAAATTGGGTGCTTCCTTTTTTACTTTCAGAAGCCTGGAACTGACTGGCACCAGGCATTTCCCTTCCCTCAGGCCAGTTAGGTTCTTGGTAAGTAGTTTTTCCTGAGGGCAAACAAAGTGCTCTGGCCTCTTTCGAAATGGCATCTCTCCTCTCCCTCTGGAGGAAGCGTGTGTAGACTTTCTCTCTCGAAACCTAGACAGTTGCCTTGAAAAAAAAAAAAAAAACCTCACAGAAACATGGGGCCCCCTCACCCTAATAGGTGCAGTAGAGTTTTTAACCCTCAGGCTTGTTTGCACTGAGACTCCAGTGACTGTCAGTTGCAGTTCAAGTTGTCCTACCCTGTACTGGCTCCTGTGGTATTTCTGCTCAGGAATCTTCTCTTTGGGATACTCCACTTGGGGGACACAAGTTTGCCCCATGTCCTCACCTTTCTCATAGGTTCACAAAGAGTTATTTTTCACTCTGTTCAACTTTGGACTTGCATTAAGAATGGATGGTGATATCCAAACTCCTTGCATGTAGAAATGAAAACAAGAAGTCAATGATGATGCTATAATAACAAAAGAGAATAAAAATTATTAGAATATGCATAATACTTTTCTTAAAGTTCATAGAATTTTTTTTTAAAGAATACACTATAATATACAGGGTCTTTTAAAATTGTGCCTCTTATTTACCTTTATGTGTCAGGCCCAAGATTGTTGTAAACATTGGGATACTGTATTTTTCATTGCAAATTAAAGGTTTGAGGCTTCTATGGCAGAACCACTTTATCTAAAGACACACTACTGGTCCAGTTGAAGAAATTGTGTTAACCTCGCAATGCGACTATGAATACATTAGGGAAAATATGACCTATAAATGACAAAAATTTGCCTGAAAGAGGAAGTAATAAATTGAAAAAATGTTTACCTGAGAATCTTCTTTTTTAAGTAGCTAATTTGAGACCATTGACAGGAATTAGGGATTAAGATTAAGTGGTCAAACAGGTCACTATAAAAATGAAGACTACCCCACCAAGTAATCCTTTTTTGTTCGGAAACATTTGTTTTTTAAAGGGAGATATTTTTGAGTGTCTGTTATGTGTACATACTGTAAAACTGGAAGTCATATTCTTATCTGTCCTAACTTCCAATGTTTATAAGCAATGAGACTGTGTACATAATTTGGCATCTTGAAAGTTATCCAAAAATACTTTTGCTGAAGCCTCTTAGATGATAATAAAAGATAGCTAAGAGATCCTGTAATAGCCAAAACTATGTACTTATGTGTAATTAAATTTTTACTCGTTTACTATACTCTGAGACCATTGTGATGCCCTAATAGTGTTACATATAATGGAATCCATTGATTTTTAATGAACATCAGGTCAAGGTAAGGGTTTGTTCTTTTTATTTTTTGGTCTACATAGCAGCTTATTAAACCTTCATGATGTAGAGATGTTAGTAACATTTATTGAGGTCTTATTACGTCAGAAGCATTCTTTGATCTACTTTATATGATTTATCTATTTTCTTTACCCACAAGAATACAGCTATAAGAAACAAGCATCCTTACAGTACCCATTTTTAAAATGGAAAATCTGCTTACTGTGGTGAGCCAACTAAAACTTGGCAGAACCAGAAACAACCTAAAGTGGGGATGAGCTAATCGCTCATATTCAAGCTCATATTCTTATTATGGATAGATAGTGTGTAGTAATATCTTAAGATTTAATGTATTCTAAATAATGTTTATAGTAATTGAATATCCAGTGGGAACTTTTAAGTTCCTATAATCATTTTTTGGGAATCTTTGATAAAAATGTATAGTAACTACCTTGTACCAGACATTACCCTTATTGTCTGAAATTGTTCAGTATGCAAAAGAAAGATCTCTGTTCTTTTGGTATTATATTCTGGTAGGAGGAAGTTAGAAAATAAACATTAGTCTATATTTAATATGGGACAATCATTTTAATGATTTTAAAGCTATATTCTAAGGTAAAGTGCAGGGTAACTTGTGCTGTTACACTGATAATCTAATTGTTTACATCATTTTGTAGTGTCTGCATTGAATCATGAAAAGTATAAAATATTAAGTGCTGTAAATGTTACTTTTAATAATTAATTTGAAATTAAATAATGTTGACCATTATTGTAGAGAACTCTTTCCTTCTCCTCCCTCCTTATACACTGAAGATGCAGCATTCCAAAGAAGCAATTAAATGTCATTTGCTATTTGTAAAGGAACTTTGTTTTCTATAATTACAGACATGGGTTGCATGGCTAAAACAGAATGAAAGAGAATTTGAATAAAGGTCTTATGATATATCCTTTCAATGTAGGACATATTTAAGTACAGTCTTCCGTAAAATAACTACAGAAGCTCACAATTAAAGATTCAATTTTGTTTTTTGTTGTTGTGGCTTGCAGTGTAGGGGTGTGCCTTTACGGGTGTGTAAAAAGGGAGAGAATGAATAGCAAATGAAGAATGAATTGCATCAGGGCTCCCTGGGTGCCTTTGTTTCAGGAGCTATTCAGAATTTTACCAATGTAATTCAGGGAGCTAACTAAACCTTTACATATATTGGTAAAATAGAGGATGCCATTTTTCTCTGTCTTGTGTCTCTTCCACTTCCCTTCTCACAGTCTCAATAGCACTGTACTGATACTCCTTTTTGAAGGCACATCTAATACATCATTCTGAACTCTCTATTTGATAGACCTTCCTGAATTAATTCTTTCTAATAAGAGCTTTAAAGAGGTAAATAATGAATATGCTTTATGGATGGTAGTGGTGTGATACAGTTAAAATTAAAATGTTCAATCATAAGGTCATTAACACAGAATGAAAAATAATTAAACATGGAATAAAGGGTTAAGATAAAATTCA